ATGTTTAATAATAGTTAGAGGATACTTTGGACATTTAGCTATAAACATAAATGAAGAGAGCAGAATACATGAGCATCGGGATAGGCTAAAAAGACACAAGGCATGGTGTGTAATTTATTTAGCCTAAGATATTTTAGACCTTTAGCTGCCACCGTAAAACGAAGGAAACATTATATATAGGTGTGTACATGAGTTAAAAGGCACCATAGAACCAGGATGCAGTGGTAGAGTGGTTTGATGTAGTTGCTCCAATAGATATTTAGCTAGCAGCATGAATAAAGAGAGTAGAAAATATGAGCACTAGGATAAATTAAAAAGGAACAAGGCACAGCGTGTCATCTAGTTAGCCTAAGATATTGTAGACTTTTAACTGACACCAGAGAAGAACAAAACATTATATATATAGGAGTACACAATACTGAAGTTTTTTTATTGATGCGGCGAAACGTGGATGTTGTCCCAAAAAAATGAGAAACTAAAACCGTCGACTATCAATTTTGTCCCAAATCTCAAAAAAGATGAATATAAGACCATAGACCAAAAGGGCGCGGGACTCGTGGAGCATAACAGAGCACATCATATTTGAGCTAAGAGGAAAATATTTTTTCCAACGAGCCTCGACTATCAATTTTACCCTAAATTTCAAAGAACATGAATATAAGACCATGGACCAAAAGGGCATGAGACTCGTAGAGCATACCAGAGCATCATATTTGAGCTAAGAGAAAAATAATTTCTTCCAACTACATAGGACCTGCACAGAAAGTAGTAAATAAGCATCATAGGTTGGGCATATGAATGAATCTATGAAATCTTTCAACATGCATGGTCAAAATGCACGGAAACTCCTCATGCCTAAAGACGGGTAACCCTAAAACGAACTCTTCATACGAGCTGGGCCAAAATCCTAACCCTAGAACAGGCAACAGTTAAGGCAGATCTGATGAAGACAAAACAACTATAAAAGAACACGTGAGTGTGGGGGGGAGCGGCGGAGGCGCCGGCGCGTCACCTCGGGGTTGGCCGCATGCAGCGCGGGGAGCTGGCCGCGCCGCCCGCTGCCGCATCGGGAGGGAAGAGGAGAGAGAGGAAGGGGAGCGAGAAACGGAGGGAGAGGCAGGCGAGGGAGGGAGGGAGGAGGGCAAGCGCCGCCGTCGTGCCCCGCACGCGCCTGGCGCGGTGGCCGCTGTCCGCGTCGGGAGGAAGAGCGAGAGATACCGAAGAAAGAGAGAGAGGAGGGGGCGAGAAGAAGAATCGGGAAGCAGAAGTGGGAGCTATTGTATATATTTGATTCTTTAGATTCTAAGGAGAAGCCAGAGAAGCTAACCAGAAGCAGGAGAAGCGGTTGCCGGTGAGAATCCACTCTAGGACATCTAGGACGTCGAATGGCAGATCAGACGATCGGGAGAATTCAGGGTGACGTGGACAGCCTGGTTGACGGGCAAAGTAACTTGCTTTGATAAGAGTAGATCATTATCATTTCATCTTGGTTTGTACTCCCTCCATCACATATTATAAGTCATTCCATGAATCTTGGAGAGTCAAATGATCTCAAATTTATATAATAAGATAATAACATTTATGATACCAACTAAGTATCATTAGATTCTTTATTAATTATATTTTTATAGTATATATATTTGATGTCATAAATCTTTTTAATTCTCTTTATAATTTTGGTCAAACTTGAGATGCATTGACTTTTCAAGATTTTTGGAATGATTTATAATTTGGAATGGAGAGAGTCCTACATACAGTCACAGCTGACACAACCCAAGACAGCCCTGTTCACTTGAACTTATCAGCTTGGCTTATCAGTTATGCTACAATATTTTTCTCTCATAACAAAATAGTCAACGGTATTTTTTAGCCTGGCTTTTCAGCGACATACCTACACCCTTGGCCTTGCTTGGCTGCTGTTATTCTGTACGTACGTACGTACGCACGCACGCACGCTAGCTCCCATCCCTGGGCTCTACATGTAACTACGTAAGGATATATCATGTGCTACACACATACGTACATAGCGTGAACGGATCATCCATCTACCCGACTGTGACTGTGAGGCCAATTCGTTTCTGGACAGACATGGATGGATCAGGCTTCTGGACAGACATGGATGGATCAGGCAGGCTTCTGGCGTGCGCCAGCTCCCTGGACAGGCAAGTCTGGATGGTCCCTGTAGCAAAGCAATGTTCGGCTAATATTAAAGTCGACTGATAAGTCGGCTGAAGCTGATTCGTTATAAGAGAAAAATACTGTAGATTCTAGCTGATAAACCGGCTGATAAGTTCAAGCGAACAGACCGTTTGGTCAGAGGGGCGCACCATCCAACATTCCATGAGCACAGCTAGGGCCAATGGCCGTTTAAAGTTGTTTTGCATCAAAAGTTCAAAACATCATTCTTCTTCTACCTCTCATAAAATAAAAACTTACTATATTAAACTCCTAAAATCACGTATATTTTTCTGACTGCTAATAAAATGAATAACAGAGAACTCATTCTAATTGAATTTGACTGTTTTTGTAAATCATTTGAACTTTAGGGTATCGGTTTAATTCTAAAAGTCAATAGAAATTGGGTTCTATGTTAAAACTAATAAGAAAATTTGATTTAAAATGGGTTCTATGTTATTTATCCTATCGTGTTAAAAATAGGGACGACTTTAGAAGCCTGATATAGTGATATTTCGAATAGTTTATGAAAGAGAGAAAAAGGGACTTAGTTTTCAAGCAAAATGGCGTAAGCAAGGAACGGAGGATGCCGAGGCACGCGGGGCGGCCAAATTTCGCTGCCCCGCACCCGCGCGATGGCTATTGGCACATCAACAGGGGCGTCGACGCCGTTGGCTATTCTGCTCGATTCCTTTTGCAAATTGCGATGGCGAGCCAGACACCGTCTGTGCTGGAGATGCTCCTATCCTTGGAGGGAGGCACAACAAAGACGGCGACGCTGCATGGTGCCTGATACTGTTTACGCACGCCAGTTCACAGTGGTGCCTGGTACTGCTTACGCATCGGCATTGCCACAACAGGTTACTCTTCAAAACTTGAGTCTATCTACTGCAAGTACACCAGAACAACACAGGACTACAATAACATCAGGCCTACGAAGACAAGAGGCACACCCCAACACAAACACCCATCGGGCATCAACCATGTAAGGCCAACAGTGCCTGCCAACCTTAAATTCTAGTCATGCAGGAATTGACATTCAGTCAATATTACAGAACCAGGCGAACAGGACCATTCTACCTTCATCAAATCCATATAAGTAAATAACAACAGGGCGGTGTTTGGCACACACCAGCAGCAACTAAGGCTACAGCGGCAACATCACAGCATGCAAGGTATGATCCTACTACCTGCAGAGAATGAAACACTTAAACGACACCAGCAGCAACAAAGGAGGCCACTTAAGGCAGCGATGCTTCCATACACCATTACTCTGCCTGCACTCTTGACAGGCCCTGTATGCTATTGTGGATGCTGCCATTGTCAAGTTGATCTCCACCAATTTGGCACAACGGTCAATTGGGCCTTTGACTCGCGTCCTGATCGGGGGCGCCCAGCCGCTTTCCTGGCTGGTGGGCCCCCGTCGCGCAGCGCTATGTAAAGGAGGTGGGAGCTGGGGCTCGAGTCACGAGGTTCACTGCAGCTGCCAGTTCCCCACCGAGTCTAACCCTAGTCTGAGCGACGGGAAACCCCACCGGCCTTCACCGCCGTCACTGGACCGCGCCTGCACGGCTTCCCCTACTCCGACACCAGTGGCCACATCGCTGCGGCACCATGGCCATGACTGCGCTTGACGACCCAAGTCTTCTATCTAAGCTAAGTATTACCCAGTGATCTACGCCTAGAAATACTTTCAGATCTATCAGCCATCCCTCCAGACGACATACAGCAACAACCCAGACCTGCTGTTCTGGGAGTCTTCATCATCAACAAACAGTAGCGGCAGCTCTTGCTCTGGCGGCACAGGCTACTGCCTCCATGAATCTACATCGTCCAAAATATCAATCAGATAACCAAGCTCTGGTGGCTTTCTTCAATGGCACAGACTTCTCTTCACCACCCGACTGGAGAGTCAAGACATTCACCCACCATTTCATCAAATGTAATGAAGGGCGACAACACAAGATTGGGAGGGGAACTAAACAAAACCGCTCATCTCCTTGCAGGGCAGGCATATGTATCAATATATCCTCCAGCCTTTCAATTGTAGGTCTGAATGTAAATTGCTCTAATAGGGAGCATGAAACAGTGTGTCCAATCAGGGATGCACTCAATGCTGTATACGCTGCTGCTAATAAAAGGTTGTTTGTTGTTAAAAAAACGGATGAACCCACCTTGCTGCCGGGCCAGGGACATGCGACAGTATAGTTGATGTGTTAGGAGAAAAAGGAAAAGAAAAACAGTATTCCAACCTCTGCATTGAGGATGCACACAGCCAAAAAAAAACATATCCAGCAGTTTTGTGGTGAACATGTTTCAATTCACTATTCACAGTAACTATGGTAGACATAACCAAGTGCCATAGGAAAACATTCGCATCGTGCGGAATATCATACTAAGAGAAACAGCAGGGGACAAACACACTACATTGTTGTATCGCAGGGTAACATAAAGTTTTGCAGCATGCAAATTTAAGGAACATGACATCACAACATAAATGCATGAAAAATTAATAGATAAATGCACCATATAAACACTCCACAGGAATCTAGTAAGATATGAAGCAACAGTTAAGCTTAGATTTATCCAAATATCCATTACTCCCACAAACATCCGGACACAAATTTTGCAGAACTGAAAGTAGTTTCCGAAAAACAGGCCACATGTTGCTAGAGAAATAAGAAGAAACTGCAGATAACAGTAGGCATTTGCAAGAGAAACAGTGCTGTTAATTAATTTCAACACCTACATCGATCATACTAGCAGAAACCTTCCCGGTCTTCATTGGCTTAGCTTGCATGTTGTTGGTTGCAGACTCAGAGAGTTCAGGAATGTTGAAGCACAGAGGCACCACTGTTGAATTCAGCATTAAAGGTCAGAAGATCAAAAGGGTCCCTACATGAAAAATTAGATGCTATTTGGGAAGCCCAAGGTGGGGATGTCCCAAAAGAGGATGAACTCTTGAAGACAATCAGTTTACAGTCTTTACTGGCCCATATTGCAGAAGTCAGAGGCTTCAGCTTGGCATTGACACCATCTGCTGAAGAGAAACATTTAGACGCCACCATGACCACCATCTTCTCCAGGACCTGCGCTCTCTCTGCAATGAACTTGAGGAACGCTAGCTCACTTCTCTTGCCCCGAAACTCTTGGAAGACAAATTTCTTCACATGCCTCTGGACGCAATCAATATAGCCAGCCTCATGCCAGAACTTGGGATCAACCTTGCCACTGGGGGCATCATTCCGTGACTGCAATCAAATCAAATCAAAGCATACATATTTGTGTCATTTTAGCACCCACCTGCGATGCAAAATGTGCAAACAAAACGCACCAAAGCAGAAATTTAGATCACAACACATATTGGCACACTCTGTTGACACAAATATACAAGCTAAAGCAGAAATTAGGACCTTGAGGATGGTGTTGCCAGTCTCCAGTTCGAGTCCCGGCTGCCAATATCCCAGCACAAGCAGGTTGGGTGCATGGCCAATCTTGATCCTTGAGCATCTGTCCCGCGCGGAAGGTGATAACATCGACACAAAGAGCCTCTCCAGACGAGGAGTGTCCACCACAGTGATGTCCACGAAGGTAGACATGCCCACCTGCACGCACCGCAGGCTGCGGCTGACCAGCCGGACTCGAGTCCCGGCCTGGCTTGTGATGACGGTGAGGACCTCCAGGGCGGGGCTCCAGTCGATCAGGAAGTGGAGGTCTCGGTCCTCGATGACGACCGTGCTGAGGACAAGCTCCTGGAGGTGGGGGAAGCGTGTGGCGCGCGGGAGCCCGACGGTGCTGGGGACCCTGCAGAGCCCGAGGTGCAGGCGGGTGACGGAGGTGCAGCCGAAGAGCGCGCGTGGGAGAGGGTGGTCGATCGGCCACGGGCGGTTGATAAAGACGAGCTCTTGGACGCCCTTGCCGGCGAGGAGCTTCAGCCAGCGCTCGATCTTGGTCTGGTGCGACGCCATGTGGCAGCGGGAGAGGTGGACGCAGCGGAAGGGGCCCGGGTGCGCGTCCAGGACGCGGGACGCCGCGAGGGCGACGGCCCCGGACAGGACATCTTCGCCTCCGGGGATCATACGGTCGGCCGAGATCCAGCACGGGAGGATGCGGTGCGCGCGGCGTCCTTGGCGGGGAGGCGCGACACGACGTTCCTGAGTAGCACGTCGGGGAGGCGGCTGATGCGGTCGACGCCGTCGGCTGGGGCTCGCGCGGCGACGGCGGAGGCGAGGGGCGCGTCGGGAGACACGGGTGGGTCGGGGGTGGCGTCGTCCGCAAACATGAGCATCATGGCCGCGCCCATCATCAACGGATCGGCGACGTCCACGCCGTTGCTCTGCAGGCTGCGCTGCAGGTTGGCCTCCATGTTTCTCACGCTGACACCCAGGACAAACGGGTGCTCCTCGTCCATGGTCGCCGCGCTGGAGAGGAGTGGAGGAGGATTGTGGCGAGGTGTGGGAGTGAGCAGGGCCGTCTCAACATTTTTTAGTCCTCGGCAAGACATTAAGGGCCTGAAAATCTAATGTTTCGATACGACGATTGAAGTATACATTACTATTTATAATTGTTAACTTGCAACATATATTTAGTTCATAAAAAATAATGACAATACATCAAAGAAGTAAAATAACTATTATGATTACCTCAGATAAAACTATAGTGTTTCAATGCCGTTGAAAAAAGAGCCTTTCGAGCATCATTGGCATCAGGTTGTGCATCTAAATTTTGCTTCTCACATGTTTCTTAGGTAACATCTAACATGTTCAAAAAATATATTGAATTAAAAATTTAGAAAATTAGTGCAGGCAGCCAGGCCCTAACTGAACTGAAATTACTTACCAAGTTACCGTCTTGGGTCCGGCATCTGCTGCGTCAAGATCAAGGAACGGCCGAAAGGGGAACTCCAGATACGATCACGGTCTCACGGATGACGGATTGGGGATTGATCGACAGGGGAACGCCAGGCCTGGGGAATAACGGAACGGCCGCAAGCCCGGAGCGGCATAGCAGCACGCCGTCACCGCGTCCAGGGCAAGGAAGTCACGCGTGAATACGAAGCGCTGGCTAAGCGGACTAGTTGCAGGATAATCAAATGGACCGTATGAACCTGAATAGATGTACTATAGATGGGTATACTCATGGGCCCCCGGCCGTCGCACTACCTGCCCCTCCCAATGAGACGGGCCTGGGAGTGAGCTGCTGCTTATCGAGGTTCTGCGCTGCTGGGCCAAATGTCCGAAGCAACCGCAATCGGGCCCATCACATTTGCCATGTGGTAGGATTCGTGTTGTTTAGTATTTATTATTGCGAAGCCTATTATTTATTAGCTGACTTTGTAATTTTTACTGGCCATGGCTAGCTCATCTTCAAAATTAAATTCTACTAAATATTGATATTACCGTCATACATTTTTATTTGGAAAGCCATTTTGGTAAACCTGTGACTGGTACACTGTTATAGAGAGGCCCAAAAAGAAAAAAGATAAATGACTGCACTGATACACCGTACACTGTTCTGTACTGTCTTCTGGAACCATCAGAGTTCAGAATCACTTGAGCTTGAAATGAATCTGAGATTCTGAGCATCGCCTGTTTGGTTCAGGCTGCTCAGAATCTAATATGGTTGATGCAAGTCAGAGGTGTTACATTGTTGGTCAACTGATCTCCTACCTATTGCAATGCCTGAGGATGCATTCATGTGAAGAAACTCTGCATTAGCCTGAAGTAGCTCATTTTTCTACCATGATTCCATGAAGACGAATAGATAGATATTACCATAAGAAGATAAGTCACATTTGATGCACACCGATGTGTTAATCGAAGAATAACATCAGGCATTGCAATAGGTAGGAGATCAGTTGACCAACAATGTAACACCTCTGACTTGCATCAACCATATTAGATTCTGAGCAGCCTGAACCAAACAGGCGATTCTGAGCAGCCTGAACCAAACAGGCCCTATGTTACATTATCAGTTCTCAGGATGCATTCATGTGAAGAAACTCTGCATTAGCCTGAAGTAGCTCATTTTTCTACCATGATTCCATGAAGACGAATAGATAGATATTACCATAAGAAGATAAGTCACATTTGATGCACACCGATGTGTTAATCGAAGAATAACATCAGGCATTGCAATAGATAGGGGATCAGTTGACTAACAATGTAACACCTCTGACTTGCATCAACCATATTAAAGTATTAATGTAATCCATCTTATATTTTCAAAGAACAAATAAGAATGCAATAATAATATACATCGCATCATTTAATATTACAAGACCTCAAATCAAACTATCAAACTTACACAAATCAAAAATTGCAGCCAGGTTGGAAACCTGCAAAGTTTACTGTCAATGTAAAAGGTTGAAAAGTTCTGATACAAAAAATTCAAATCTTGGTAGGTTTATAGGTGGTTGCTTGGAGCTAGTAATTCAGTACTGAAATTTAATGCTTTGGTGGCTACATCTAAGTTAGATCTGCTTAATTTTTTGTAGCGTAATACTCCCTCCATTCCAAATTATAAGACATTCCAAGAATGTTGGAGAGTCAAAGAATCTTAAGTTTGACCAAAATTATAGAGAAAATTATGAAGATTTATGACATCAAATAAGTATACTATGTAAATATAATTAATCAGGAATCTAATGGTACTTAGTTGACACCATAAATGTTATTATTTTATCATATAAATTTGGTCAGACTTGAGATGCTTTGACTCTCCAAGATTCTTGGAATGACTTATAATTTAGGATGGAGAGAGTAGTATTTTGTAGTAGTTGGAATAAATTACGCCACCAATGGTTCTGATAGAAATAATATTTCGTGGCAGTTGAAATCCAGGCAGATCCTTTTTCTCGCCTTTTTATCTAATAATTTTAATAGTAGCGCCTGTATAATTAAATTTTCGGGTCACGTCAATTTGTGTGCCTGTTGAGGTGAATTATCTCAGTTTGCTCTGCCAAGTTAAGGATCTGTGCCAAAAAAAAATGGCGTCACCCAAAAAAGACTACCTCTTGAGAAGTTAGTTTTATATACGTGCTGTTAGTAACACTTTAATTTTTTTTTGCGAAACAGTAACACTTTAAATTTAAGAAGGCTAAATTAAAAATTTGGCCAAGTCCATATCGACTGTGCAGCTTGGATGGCAGCTAGTGTGGTCAGTTTAAGTAGCACGCACTCCATATTCAGGTCATTTTTTTTATTCAAATATTCAGGTCGGTTCAAGTAGCACGCACTCCATTCGGTCCATTGGACCTGCAGGGAACAGATCGGTTGTAGCGTTCAATCTTCTGACATCGTAAGACAGGGAATGTCACCAGTACCATTCATCTTGCTTTCTACTACATACAATCGCAGCCGACACAACCCAAGACATACATATATACATACTAACATATACATACGTACGCACGCACGCACGCTAGCTCCCCCGGGATCTACCACGTAAGTTTATACCATCTGCTGCACATACGTACATAGCGTGAACGGATCATCCATCTGGACAGACATGGATGGATCAGGTCAGGTCTTCAGCCTTCAGGCGTGCGCGAGCTCCCTGGAGACGCCGTCCAGGTACGGCGCCTCGCAGAACTCGCCGCCGAGGTGGTCGCACGCCTCGCCCGGGAACACCCTGCAGTTCAGTCGATCGATTCAGCACGGTTACAGTTAGTCACTGGAGAGTGTGGTTTTCTCGACGAATCGTCAGTGCAAGAATGCATGGTGATGAAGTTGGGTGCTTGCTTACGTTTTTGGATCGTCGTAGGACAGGTAATCCCTCTCCACCCCGTCCACCCTCCTGCTCGCCTCCGGCGCCGCCGCGGCGAGCTTGGCCTCCGGGTACATCTGCCCGATGCACGCGTCGCCGCCGAGCAGGTCGCAGGCCTCCATCGGGAACACCCTGCAGCATCACCAACACACACGTGCACGTCACCGATCCGAACTCTAACGATCATCAGAACAAGCTCTACACTACACCGACTGGTCACTGATCAGTGATCAAGGGCTCAAGGCTAGGGAACACTTACGAGAAGCTCGAGCTGTAGTCGACCTGCGCAGGCTCCGCCACGACGACGGCGGTGGCAGCCGCACGGACGCTCCTCCTTGTGGCAGGGACACGAGCCACCACCGTGCTCCTCGCCGCCGGCCGGGCCTTGGCGGGCAGCACGGCCGAGAACCTGACGGCAGTAGCGGCGGCCTGCATTTTCTGATCTCAACTTCCTGTGCGTGATCAAGTGTTCTACTGAAGTGAAGTGGCAGCTTGGTTCAGTATGATCTGGAGGGCTTATCTATCAACAGTGTTCAAGCGATTCAACAGTGTTCGGCTGGTATATGAGCCGGCTTGTTTCGGCTGATTCAACAGTGTTCTGCAAGGGAGAATAAGCTGAAATAGACTGACTTGACTGAAAAGTAGTTCAAGCAAACACTGGGGGTCCCTGGTTTGGATAAGATGGTATGTGGTAACCACCTACTGGTGATCAGAATTGTTCTGGGACCAAGGGGAAGGGAAGGACCCCACCCCCATGCCTGATCTTTTGACCTCTTGTAAAGATATTTCTAGCTCTGATCCTGATGGCTATCTTATCAGTTGTTGCAAAAGGGTGCTGTTGCTAGCAAAAAAGATATTGTATTGCAAGTTTGCAAGAAGAGAACAGCTTCTAAGATATTTTCCCTTCAGTCTTCTGTTCATTTTGCTTACTTGTCTTCAAGAATTATTGGTGTGTATAGTGATTTTTCTAGTCTAGAGCAAAATTGGTGTATAGTGATGTGTACTTGCAAACAGACACGGCTCAAGTGACAGGTGATAGATGAAAATTGCAGAATGACAAAAAGGCATCAGGGACAGAAGGTGATTAACCTGTTGCAGTTAGTCTACGTTACTCAGTCACAATTATATTCAGCATACTCTTAGCAAAGGGAACCTGAAAGATCAGCAGCGACAGCAAGTGCAATAAACGGAAGCATTACCATGACGAAAAGAGGGATACATCAGATTGTTCAGACTCAGACACAAGCTACAGAGTTTTCACATCAACTTAAAATCAAGGTACAAGAATATTTCTAACTGCGAATTGATGCTCGAGGCACCGCTGGCAATCCTAGCTCATCCTCCTGCACGTCAGATAAGAAGCAAATAACCCTTAGTACCACCTCAACCAAACAAACTTCTAGCTGAATAAGTGGTAAAACGTGTTGTTTTTGGCAAACAGACATATTCTTGATGGCAAATGCAATGAAACACCAAAATATAACATGGTAGATTACATGGTGTGCTTTACTCAAACCACTACCACATCAGGTCAAAGATATTTTGAATTTAATGTTGGTTCATTCCCAATGGGAAAAAAAAATCAGAACCACACTAAGTTAAGAATGTTGTGCGAATAAATCACCTGCAGCCCGCCTGCTGGGACTGCTGCAGGGCAAGTTGGTGCAGCAGGTAAGTTGAGGTCAGCATCAAAATCAGATTCTGGTTGAAGATATGAGGGGACTGCAGCTGACTCAAACTCCATATCAGACTCCAAAGCATCTAGCTCTGCAACATCGAAAGAAAAAATAATAATGAGAACAGTAAAGCTAGCATCATCTCCAAAAAGTAGACAATAAATCACTAGCTAGATGTTAAGGAAGAAAATTTAGGCCATTTAGGTTACGAATATATGTGATCAATTAGAGTTTTAGGCCATCAGCAAATAACCATATTGCCAAGTGATGTGCCAAAAACTATGGAAGACTTAAATCCAGATATAGATGTCATATTGCCAAGATGAAATTGCGGCTTCCGTACCCCCCATCAGTTCTTCCTCATCAACGTCATCAGGGATGTTGTAGCTTCTACCAAGAGTTTCTTGTATCTCATTGCTCACGTCCATCAGATCTGTCATTTCATCTTGCATATTCTATGAATTGCAGGAATGTGTAAGTACAACTCAAGGCACTGAAAAAAAGGATTGAAGAGTAAGCAACAGCAAATACTAAAGGCATTCCATCAAGCATTTCCCCACCATCTGAGTGATTTTTTTCTCACGAACACGCAGGAGAGCTGCGTATCATTATATTAAGAATGAAAAATAGGGCAAGAACCCTTACAAACACAACATCTGGGTGATGTTACAGGCTTCAACGACTGTTTGTCTATTAATATAGATACTAAATAACCTAAAAAGCTTCAAAGAAAAGGTTGACTGTAAACTTAAGGGTGATAGGCAATCTAATAAATTTTGTTCTACCTTGATCAAAAGAAGAGAACAAAAAACTCTCAAAATTATTTTGTGTACATGGACACTGCTAAGTCATCTGATCCTAAAATAACCATTGTATCATTAACTCCAAAGTTAGAAGGATCCTCGAGTTTGTTATAAGTTATTCAGTTATTTGATGTGGCCTGCATTATATGCCCAAACAAAGCTAAACAATCCCCACGCCCCCTTACCCCATCTAGCATTTTCGGAAACTTTTGGCAATGAATCAGAAATGAACACAACAAAATCTTAAAGTGCTCGGAGCAATAGAAAGGGTACCAACAGTGTTGGTCCAGCATTTCCGGGAACTTTCGACAATGAATCAGAATTCAGAAATGGATATAATAACAAAATGTGAAAGTAAACGGGGATAGTTGCATAGGAAAAACTCAAAAGCCTTTATATTTCAGGCCACAGGTAGTATAAGTTATTCAGTTATTTGATGTTACGCCTGCAGTATGTGCCCATAAGAAACTAGACAACACCCTTCCCTTAATCAATCTAGCATTTTAGGAAACTTTTAACAATGAATCAGAAATGGATATGACAAAAACTGGAAGTGCTGAGCAATAGAAGGATAGCAACAGTGCTCATCTAGCACATTGTGAAAATTTTCACAATGAATCAGGAATGGATATAACAAAATCTGAAAATGTTGAGAGCACAAAAAGGGTAGCAACACATACATCAATTTCATCAATTTTGACGGTTTTCATCATTCCCTTGAGCTCTTTGTTTGCTGCCTTCATTGCATTCATCTGAGAAAAGGAAACAAAAACCACTCCGTATAAACATGGGCATTATGAACACGAATAAACTTGCTTGATGAGAGATTTAAGGACCTTACAGTCTGCTGAGCATCCTTGAGGCCATCGGCAGCAAAGGCAACTTGGTCGAGATTGTAGGTTTGGTTGTACAACATGTTGCGCTGCTCCTCGTACCTGAGAGGCAAATAAGCAATCTCGAATTGGTATAGTATTAATGGATAATGGCTGCCTGCTGCTACTATTTCCGGTGACATGACAACTAAGATGATAATATGAATTGGGAACAGTAAACCAGCAACAGGCAAATAACAAAAGTGAAAATGATTGTAACAGAAATTGAAGGGACCGAAACGGGGGAGACAGGGAGTAGGGCACGAACATGCGCTTGTGCTTGAGGAGTCGGATGGCTCGCGCCTTGATAGCTTCCTGGGACGGGCCGGGGCGGGTCTTGCGGATCTGCTCCTTGTACCTGGCTAGCTCCTCGTCCAGCTTCTTGATCTTCTCGTCCACCGTCTCGCCCCGCTTGTTTATCTACCGGATCGAATGATGCATCGCGCATTGGAGATCAGATCATCAGAAGAGGGTTAGATTAGTTTGCCCGTTGCCCATGAACCAATGCAGTTACTGCTACGATGGAGAAAGGGGCAACAGGAGCAGGGTTGCAACAGCAGCGGATTGGTAGAGAGAAAACACTGACTCGCTCGGTGGCGTCCTGGATGGAGGGGGGCGGCCCCTTGTCCTTCTTGGCGCCGAAGATCTTCTTCATCGCCGGCTCGCCGCTCCCGCTCCGGTTGGTTGCTGCCGCCTTGCCTTGCCGGCGCCGCCGCAGGAGAGGAAGGGTTCAGGGCTCAGGGGCGCGTGCGGGGCGGGGCGAAATTCGAAATCGAGATGTTGACAGGGGGCTCCAGTCAAAACGATTTCATTTGTGTTTGTTGGAATGCCATCGGTCGAACTTCCCGTTGGTAGTGGGCCCGTCACTCGGTCCAGCATTTCAATTTGGGCCAAACCGGAACAGAGCGAGCCCATCCAAATGCCTTCAACAAGCCAACACGGCAACACCAACTATTCTTTGAAGTGAGTACATTTAGGTCCTTTGCTGCAAAATATTTTTGGAGTATTAGAAATACTATGTTTTATTTGAATTATTAAAAATACAGAGTAGTTGGGTACTTAAAAGCTGCTGGGTGCTTGGACAAGCTATAGCATCTATCTTTTTGGATTTTTAGAAATTTCATCATGACCTCTTTTTTGTTTTCAAAATCACGTTTGGCTTATAAAGCCATAGCTTCATGATTCTACAGTTTTCTAAAATTATGTCATCCAAGGCCCATATATAGCCTATAAATAGTGCTGCCTGAAATGAAGAATATGAAAACTCTAATATGAGAACGTTAAGCAGCATGAATGTTAGAGCATCTCCAAGAGAAGGCTAATAATACTTCCAAAACTAAAATTTTTGGGGAACTCTTGGAGTTGCTATTAGGTGCAGACTTTCTGGAGTGGATTGCACTCGGCTCTCACAATGCAAGACAAACACACTTGTCATCGTCATTTCTACACTCCTGACCGGACCGGAGACTGCGTTGCTTTAGACAAGTTATTCCATTTTATCAAGCAAGTTATTCCAATTTTATCTATAGAGATGAGAGCTTCAGCTAGCATATACTCACCGTTTGGTACGCATGCCGCCGCATGCATGATATATAAACACGCATCTAAATCTACCCTACCGATGCACCATCTTTTCTTTCCTACGTCCACACAAGAAAACGACCCCCGTTGAGATGTCCCGCTAAGTCCACCCCAAAAAGTATACCCAAGAAAACAACACATTTCAAACGAATCGTCCAGATGCACTCTAAGCATTCTCTCTCCTTATTCATTACACAATCGAGGGCCTGGATTGAGTGTATCAAATCTTCTCATTCTCCCCCACACCCACGTCATGCAGCCCCCACCGAGTATTACGAACGCCACGCAGCCAAAAATCACGGAACTTCCCGGACACGCACGGAGGCGGAGGAGGCGCTGCTACTCCTGCCGCGGTCGGCGGAGGAGGCGAGTAGGCGGTGATCGCGCGCGCGGCCACCGAGGTTGTCGCGAGCGAGGATCAGGGTGCACCGGCGCCGTCGCATACGTCTCGCTCCTGCCGCGATCGTCGTCTCCCGCGGCCGCTACGATCACGCGCGCGAGGAGGACGCGTGGTCGGCGAGGTGGTCGCGAGCGAGGAGATCAGGTACGCCTGTATACTTCGATCGTCAAACATGTTGCCGCCGAGATGGATCCATGCCACTGTATATATGTTCCATGCCCAGCTCCTGTCTTTGTTCTGAGATCGCATTTGAACACATGCATACACCTAACTGCGTATATATACGTATAGATGAGTATACGGTACATGAATTTTTTTATCTTTACTTTTGATCATAGTATATATGAAACTACAAAATGCAGATTTTTTTTTCCAAAGTACTATCGGTCACTTGCCGAGGCGGTTCAGATGTTCAGAGATGTAGCAAGTATGGTAGGAAAATTTTTCATCTTCAAATTCAGAGGTTCAGATTAGCATTTAGAGGTTCAGATTAGCATTTAGGCGGTTCAGATGTCAGTATTCAAATAACCACTGGCGACAAGATATATCATGGTTCTAATGGACATGTCTATTATATTATTATTACTAGCCCTTGACAGCAAAATGGGGACGCCAGGAGAAGGCCGCACTACGCTCAGCGATGTAACGAACATACCTACTCCAGGTATTTTCATACACTCATATTTTTTATATAAGCCATCATATATAAAAGTATATAAATAAACAAGGCCATGTCAACAGCTTGCAGCGAAGAACAACGCAGGAGAGAGGAAAGGAATAGAAAACAACGTGAGTACCACGCTAGGATTAGGGCTCAAGAAACAAGCGAGCAAAGGGAGGAGAGAAATAAGAGGCAGCGGGAGTACCAGCGGGACTACTGTGCTCGGCGAAATACACAAACAACGGCACCTCCTAATGCACCAGATCAGCCAGGTGCTAAAGAATGCTCTTTGCAGGTCATCTGATTGCTATCTTTTTATTATTAATATTATTTACTGACATTGTCTTATTACTTCAACAACAACGCAATATTCAACTTATGGGACAACGACATCAGCCGTTCTACAACCAATTAATGAAGGATATTTTTCCGCCCCAAACATGAATTCTATTGACGTTAATATGACTCCATGTATGTCGATTCAAGGAGTGCAGGAATCACCATTTTAGACGGGGAATTCTGGAATTTTTACTGGCCCAACCTCGGTTTAGGACAAAGACAATCAAACCCCATGCGATGCTTCGGAATGGTTGCGTCGAAATGATAACTACATCAGACCAAGGCAACAAGTATGTGGGGATATCACAATGGAGCCGTCTGCTCAGATGGTTCAGGATCCAGGTGAAACAATAACTGGAATTTTATAGTACCTACTAATGATGCTTTTTGCCATTTTTACGATTTATTTATATCTCACCATATCAACCAAATGATTAAACAGAATCCAGTTCAAGTGCCAATCAATTGCGGAGAAATAGAGAAAGGTACAACAATCTTGAAGAATCGATAAAACAAGAATTATTGGATAAAATGCGAGGCTATACAAGGGACAGGAGAAATATTGCACATCAGTCCATTCAGCATACTCCAAGCAGCAATGCCTAGCCCACAGGTTGCTTGATTCATTTTTCTTCCAATCCATAGTTTCGTATATGTAAATTTCTAATGTTAATTATATAACTTTAACCTATAATAACTACTATACAGATGGGACACTAGCTCTTCGCACGTTACATGCAAACATCGATCGGGTAGATGAATAAGACACTACCTTGTTCCAGCCGGCAAACAACGAGATACAAGAATCTGATGACGAAGGAGGTGGGTTGTTTTTTAATGACACAAACATGACTGCATAAGAGTTAGTTTTTAACATACCACGTGCTGCCCATGCAACAGATCCCCGGGAAGACATGGAACATCAGAGCGATGACGACGAAGCTAGGCAATTCCATAGGGAAGGTATCGCCTCACGTCGACCATAAATCATTGTGTTTTTAAATATAAATATATATATATATATATAATATTAATTTTACCACGTGCGTTCGTAACCACTTCATAACTCTCATGCAGATGACCGATATGAGTCATACCGTATATATGCCAATGGTGTTGCTGGTACTGACGCTGATGATCCATACGACTACGTCTACCATGATATACTAGACCAGCACCATGTTTTGAAAAAGGTGCCTAATTGCAGACACTGTGGGGCCATACGGTTTGAATATGAACCGCTAGGGTTTTGCTGCAGAAGTGGAAAGGTTAAAGTGCATATTCCTGAAGTGCCGGCTGATTTAAAAAGGTTATTTACTAGCCAGGTAGATGCTGATGCAAAGTATTTCAGAAAACACATACGTTACTTCAACTCTCATTTCTCTTTCACGACCCTTGGGGTTAGTGTGGATCGTCGTGTTGCCACCGCAGCAGGCACTGGTATCTATACATTCCGGGTGCAAGGTTCCTTGTACCACCGACTTGACCACTTGGTGCCAGGTTCCAAAGGGCCACGCCACATGCAACTGTATTTTTATGATACAGATGATACCTTAGCACATAGGACACGGAGATCTCCTGACCTGGATATCAACCTCATAAGAAATATTCTTAGGATATTAGCGGACAATCCTTATGTTCAAACATTCAAGAGGGTTGGGGCCATACCAAATCTTGATGACTATGTAATTGAGCTAAACACCAATGTCACGCCTGACCAAAGGAGGTACCTTCTCTACCACACTACATGAGTTTCTGTTGTAGTTACTACCTAAGCTTATATAATTTTGTAGATTATATGTTCACCCGTGTTTCGCTATGTTTACAAAGGTACAATGCACCGACGACATCACAGGTTGCTGCTATCTGGACCGAAGGAAATGACCCACAAAGATGCTTTGATAGAAGTGTGCTTGTGTATGCAACAGGAGATCGGGCACTATATATTAAACCATACCAGGGTTGTTATGATCCATTGTCATATCCTTTATATAATCCTGGAGGACAGACTGGTTGGAACAAATTTATGCCATATACTGACGCACCTATCATCCCTGCTACTACTCCACGTGGCACAATGGCGGACACATCAACTTCTGTGCAAACATTAGAACATGACCCCACAAGTTTAGACAAATCCTTATATTAATTGAAATTTATATCTAACTAACTCATGTGCTACAGAGTTTCCCTAATAATTTTCTTGCTACATAGATGATGCTGAAAATGTCGCTGACATACAACAAGGTGAAAACTTGGGTAGCCTGATGGAGGAAAATCAATCTGGAAAATATGTCACTGCTCGAGAATACTATTGTTTCTTAATGCAAGTTTGGCGGGGTCTTTTTAACATACTGTTGTTTGGAGGACGACTATTCCAACAGTGGGCTGTTGACATGTATATAAAGATTGAGTCTATGAGGCTTGATTGGTATGCTAACCCAGTAAACCAGAAACTCATACGGGCGGAACTATATCAGGTGAGGCAAATGTTTTCTTTGCAAAATATGTCGTACACTACAACTAAAAAATGACTTTTTTATTATTATAATTATGAAAGTCGATCATTGATAATTGTGTTCATGTAGGGTCTGGTTGATGTTGTTTCAAATGGAGAAACCAGGGCTCTGAAGTTGGTAAGAGAATTGTGTTGCCACGTTCTTTCCCGGGCGGT